TAGGAGATGGATAGGATGATGGGGAGGGGGTAGAGTAGGAGATGGATAGGATGATGGGGAGGGGGTGGAGTAGGAGACTGATAGGATGATGGGGGCTGAGTAGAATATGGATGGAAAGATAAGGTGGATATGTGATTGGAGATAGATGGTATTAGGGATGGAGTCAAAGTAGACATGGTAGATATGGAATGATGCGTTATGGATGATGAGGGTAGAATTGTTGGGGATAGGATGATGGGGTTGGATACAAAGTGCAAAACTGTACTTTAGAGGAATTTTAATTATGCACCATCCTCCAAATCCACAAATGCACTGCTTATATAATCATCCAGGTTTAGTCTGACTGTACTGGACCCACATTCTATAGGCATTCCTCTTTCCTGTAAAGAAGTATGAAGCCTTTGTACCTGTATCTCCCTAGTTGGTAGTCTTTGTTGATTAACTTTTAAATGACAAGCTCCTTTCAACACACAGTCTGCACACAGCACTAACTAGGATTTTTCTCCTAGAGTACAATGAATTTTATTGTTAAGGTTCGATAAAATATCTTGCACATCTGTATTGCAGTCGTATATCAACCAATGTTGTAAAAGTTTTGATGAAGCTTGGTTAGTATTTTCTTGTTTAATTTAGTAACCATATAAGTTGAATGTCTCTTTCTTTCCTGTTATTACAGGAAAGAAATTCAAACCTATAACAAGCAGCGAGCCTTGGCGGCTTTGCCGCTCTAGTTGAATCTGAAAATGTTGATATACAAATGTCTATATATCTCTGGAACGCAGTGCAGTACAGCGATCATTCATGTATCAAATAGTAGCTTTTGATGTACAGAATCCAGCCATATCAAAAACTCATAACCTAATTTGGCGACTTATAACCCATTTTTTGAGAGCTGGTCACAATTTTCTTTAACCATTTAAGCTACAGTGACTTTTATGAAGAATCCCGAACCCTTGAAAACCTGCACACACATGAAGCTGTGGGTTTCTGCTCAATGAAGTATTTTCAAAGGATGTAGGAAGGTTCATTTCGAGATGTGAAGGGCTTAGGGTTAAGGTACTGCACTTAACTCCCCTTTTTTAACTTCCCTCCCAATTTTGGCAGGATGAAGATGTGAACATTCGTATTTACCGTGAAGAACAAGACGACCAGGACAGCTCCACTTGGGAAATGATCTCAAAGTGAGTCCAACTGCAAGATAGATTGAAAAGTTAGGAGGGTAAAAGATGTTGATCCCTACAGAATCATTTCCAACAGCAGTGAAGAGAAGAATCTGTGTCAGGTGTAAACATCAAGTGCCCTACCCTACAAGTACCCTAAGGTTGACACTTAATGCATGGCAGGCCACCCCAGTACAAAGCAAACAGTTTACAGAAACCAATTATCAATTATGAATATTCACGAAGCAATATTCATGATATCGAATGCAAATGCTTTGTCTGCCAGCGATCGGGACCAGATGGAGAACCTAATCAGAGCCCTACGGAGTGGCACCAATGTCGTGGCTGGCCAAGGGAAGGAGGAAGACACGGAGTCGACTGCCGGCTCAGACACCAGTTCCAACAAGACCGATGCCAAGAGCAGTAAGGAACAGACGACCAATGACCATGGTAACGTAGGAGCCCCCCAACAGTAGCTAAAATGCTGCTCACTCTTCAGTTTCGAGCTAAGTAGTACAAATCTGAAAGAGCAAAAGACAGTAAAGCAGTCTTTGTGAACGCACAGACACGAATGGATATTTTTTGGACTGGCATCACCACCCTTTCCTGATTTAAATACATGTAACTGGTTTTTCTAGTAGATTGGTCTTGGGGCAGCATTCACCAATGTTGATTCTACGTTTCAAACGCTCCCTTATATTTCTACCCCATCGTGTCTGTAGATTACTTCTTCATGGACACATTTAAGATCTAAGAAGGTATTAATCTTACCCCTAACTTACCTTCTGTTCTGTTTCATCAAACTCTTTGTTTTGCTGTGTTTTGAAGTATTCTGGACTGTTCAGCTCCGCCACTAGTGCTTCGTAAAAGTTGGTGACAAAACTTGATGTTAAGTTCAAAGGAAACGGAATTGGTTTTTACTAAACAGCGTTAAATTTTGTAGCTTCAGGAAGCTACCATAAGAGTGTGATATAAAGCAGTTAAGATGTTATATTTCTGTCGTCCAGAGTCTGTGAACACCAAACAACAGAAGCAGTCAAATGACCAAGATGACAAAGAATCAGTTGAGAAGATGGAAGAAAGTAGAGATGCGCCTGTGCAGCATCCTGTAGACGTCAAAGTTGAAAAGAGGACAGTAGGTCAAGATCAGGCTAGAGTTGTCGAAGACACAAAGGAGAATGTTGCCATCAAAACTGAAATTTTAGAGGAGCAAGAAACTAAGCCAGTTCCCAAAGATGAACCAAATCAGACACCAGCCGATGCTGGCAAGGATGAAGAAACAAAGCCAGTTCCCAAAGATGAACCAAATCAGACACCAGCCGATGCTGGCAGGGAGGAAGAAACAAAGCCAGTTCCCAAAGATGAACCAAATCAGGCACCAGCCGATGCTTGCAAGGAGAAAGAAACTAAGCCAGTTCCCAAAGATGAACCAAATCAGGCACCAGCCGATGCTTGCAAGGAGAAAGAAACTAAGCCAGTTCCCAAAGATGAACCAAATCAGACACCAGCCGATGCTTGCAAGGAGGAAGAAACTAAGCCAGTTCCCAAAGATGAACCAAAGCAGACACCAGCCGATGCTTGCAAGGAGGAAGAAACTAAGCCAGTTCCCAAAGATGAACCAAATCAGGCACCAGCCGATGCTTGCAAGGAGAAAGAAACTAAGCCAGTTCCCAAAGATGAACCAAATCAGACACCAGCTGATGCTGCCAAGCTTAAGACAGAAAATCAGGTTGTGTTACCACCAAAAATAGAGGAGGAAGGAGATGCAGTAAAGGAAGTGAAGGAAGACACAACAGTCAGTGACGAAAAAGAGAGCTTGAAAGATATTGCGCAGACCTCGCCTAAGAATGAATGGAGGGAAGAGAAAGAAACAATCGATGGAAATTGTAAGGATGCCAAGACTGGAGAGACTGATACATCAGAGAAATCTGAAATGGATGGCAGCAAGGAGGAAGAAGGAGATAAAGAAGGGTCAAAAGAGGATGATGGAGTACAATGCAGTAAGGAGAGAAGTGAAAAGCAGATGATGGAAGAATACGGCAGTGAGGGTTTAGAGGAGGATACAAAGTCTAAACTAAACCTTCCCGAAGATGGTGGCAAACAAGCAACCAAACCAGAGAGCAAGGAGGAGCAAGTTGTCAAGGACTCGGAGGAGGGAGAAAGGGCAGGTGGTGATGAGAAGCCGACGGAGGAAAAGGAGAAGACGGAAGTGAAGGCCAAGCCTGTCGGCAGGCCCAAGAAGGTCGGCAAGAAGCGCAAGAAAAAAAGTGCCCGGAGCCGGTTCACGCCCCGCCGGAATGCCTCCCGCAAGGCGGCCGCCAAGATTGAGGAGGAGATGAAGGAGGAGGTTGAGGAGGAGGAGGAGGAGAAAGAAGATTGTGGGCCAGCTGGAGAGGATGACAGCCCCTGCTGCAAATGTGGAATGTATAACCATCCGGAATGGGTAAGGCCAGTTCCAAAATGTACATTCATGCAATATACAACTGAAGAAAATGTGGAACAACCTGTAAAAAGCATCCAAGGGTTTCAAACGTTTGGCAAGATGTAGTTCCTTCACTTTCCTCAAACCTACAAGATCCTGCAAAACTGTTTGTGGGATTTTGAAAGATCAGATGATGGTATGAGTCCCTGTTTTCATTTCAGATACTCCTGTGTGACAAGTGTGACTCGGGTTACCACACGGCATGTCTACGGCCCCCTCTAATGATCATACCTGAGGGCAACTGGTACTGTCCCAATTGTGAGCATGTAAGTTGCTGACGTCACCCTACTTTTTGACATCAAATTTTAACATCAATTGTAGAAGTCACCCTTGACTCCACGAGTGCTTTTGCTCCTTAGACACAGTGCATCACACTTCTTACATCATGTGGTCTCGACTTTGATAAAATTCAAAGGGATATCAAAAATTGCTGTTGATTGTATTTTCTCAGGAGAAGCTTGTTGACAAGCTGGCAGAGATGCTGACGGAAGTTGACGCTAGTCTGAAGAAAAAGGAAAGAAAACGGAAACGAAAGGATGGCTCGGCACTCTGGGCGCTCACCGATATATGCATGCACAACATCCTCCCTGATGTGAGTGGCTCAACAACTGTAAATACTCGAACTCACTTGAATGTTGTTCTGAATACTTCAGATCCTTTTGATCACACGTCAGTTACTTGTCATATCACCAATGAGGGTGTCAAAAATGTCAGAAGTGTCAAATCTGTCCAAAATGTCACATTTATGGGCCCTTCAAATCTTTGAGAAACTTGGAAGGGAATCCAACAGGTCAACCATTTCCAAGACCAAACAGTTCCTATCCTCCCAACCACTATGGTATCCAACAGTGGCTTTGTTCATTGGGGTTAGATACTATTGTCTCAGGATTGTCAGTTGTGCCGCTCCACTTGACTGTCCAATCCAACAGGTGCCACAGATCTGTACATCTGCAGCCCAATTGTACTCTGGCAGGCATAGGTTAAGAAATGTAATGCAGTATGTCAGGCATGTCCTGTTACTCCACAAATCTAAACTGCATGACTTTTTGGGGTTGACCTGTTTAGGAGATGGTCAAAGTTAGGAAGCAAAGGCACGCTGTGGCCCTACGTCACACCTCGTCCACCTTCCGCCAGGGATTGAGGAGTCCCAGTGACGACTCGCGTTCCAGGCACCACCGACGAAAGCACCGCCACCACCACCATCATCACCACCGGCAACAAGAGCAAGGGCAGCAGCAGCATCATAGACGATCGCGCCGAGACCGTTCCCGGGACCGTGACCGGGCGTGGCGCTGGCGGGAGCAGAGCCTACGGGATCGCAACTTCATCAACGACAACGAGGATGACGAGGACAACGAGGGCCAAGAAGGAGAAGAGGAGTTTGAGATGGTCCAGCGACGCTCCCGCCGTGCCCGGAAGGAGATCAGCTACAAGTTTGAGGACTTTGAAACGGCCATCAACTCGGCCATTCAAGAGGAAGTTGTGGAACACAAGAAAGGTAAAACACCACACCACACTGGTGGAACTCCAGTCCAAGGCTAACCTCAAATATGCCAGATTTGTTCCATCTTTTGAGGGACTTCAAATCCTCATTGCCCGTATCCCAAATCTTTTTTTCAAAGCATATTGCAACTTGTTGCAGATGCAAATTACATTGACTGAAGCAGGATTTGAACAAGTGACCTGTGGAAAGCTGTTCTAGCACTCTACCGACTGAACGATATGGTCCAGTATTAGGAATCCTCCAAATATCTTCGTTCAGGATTGCCAATCCGAATCCACAAGCTTGTATGCCATATCCAGGCTTAAAGTCATGATTTAAGCAACAATAGCAATATTGGACAAATAAGAGCAAGTAAAGGGGGATGAGTCAAAGAGGGACAGCATTTGACGTACAAGTCGTCAAATAAACCATGCAAGGAAAGTTAGTAGGTGCTCACATGATAATTATGAAAATGGACAAATGAAAATTGTTTTGTGATATTGCCTTTAGTTTTTCATAATCCAAACCTCAAATTCCTACACACCTTGTCTGCGCAGCCGTCAAGGAGTACCAGGCCACCCGCCCAATCAGCCGCGGCAAGGATATCTCCACCATCGAGGGCCTGAAGGAGAGCAGCGAGGATGAGGCCAAGGAGCGGAGGTCGAGGCGGAAGAGCAAGAGGCGGCTGGGAGACCTGGACGCCACCAGCGAGGAGGAGGAGGACGTCAGCGACGACTTTCAGATGGACAGGTCAGTTCCGAGTCGGGAAGACTCATTTTCTCCCCGCAGATCTTAGCTTTGTGTCTGTCTTTAGCTGCAGGAATTGACTGCCCTGCGTTGAGATCCTTATTAAGCTTTGTTACAAGCTATGGCATTATCCAAGTATTTCAAAGGGAAGCCAAGGCTTGGACAATGCTCTGTGTGTTCCATCAATAAACATTTGAAACTTTGCTTGGAACTGGACATGAAGTCAGACACACAGACTTAGATTTGGCACAATGGCAAAAAGTATTTTCTGAAGTATTTTTGCAGTTGAAGCCCAGTAGGAACGAATGCAATGGACAGTGGGCGTTTGTGATTCCCAGACCACTAGAGGGCTTGAACAAACTCCCCCCCCCAAAAAAAGACAAAGAGAATGGAAAAATGCCCCAACCCGACTTATAAACTAACGTAATTTTATTTGTCATTGAAAGCCTTTTTCTCTTTCCATGTCCTTTCGAAAGTCAAATTTACAAGTTCTAAATCCCAAAAGTTAAAAAAAAACTTTGTTTCCCACTAAAAATATTTTACCCAGGCCCCGGCCGACGCCCTCTATTGTCCACCAAAAAATTCAATGGTTTCCTTCACTTTGTACATGTATAAAATTGCATCTCTGTTGTTGGTCACCAACTAAAATATTAATACACTGTATACTTTACGTGCGCGTTCTCTCGCAACAGCGACCACTCCGTGCAGGTTACATCACTTCGACAGACACTTCGACAGTGGTGATGAGTCTGCTTGCCCCGTTGTTACATTTTATTCATTTTCTGGCTTGTTCTTTTCAATTACAGTACGGGGTGTATCAAAAACTTTAAATGGTCACTGTGGCAAAGCTACACATTTTCTAGCAGAAACCTTGCTTTCATCCCAAAGTTGAGAACAAATACTTTCCAATGATACCTCAATCATGATTTTACCACTACGCATCACTGAGCACCAATGTGTTGACATTTAGGTGCATATTTGGGGATGGCTCACTTTCAGGTCAATGAAATCAACATTGCCTCTTTCATAATTGGTTTGGGTGTGAGTGGACATGTCTTTGGTGATTATTTAACCGTCCTTGGATAAAAACCTGAGTGCTTGGACAGACAGTCTGCACTAGTAAGCAGGAGGTCATGGGTTCGAGTCCCACCAGAGTACGCTTGTGATTTTTCACAAGCCTTTGGGGGCATACACTGACTATACAGTGTTAAAATACACGTCAGGCGGGGCAAAAATTCAAAATTACTTCGATAAACATGTTTAAAATTTTTTGAAAGTAAATTTGTTAGCCAACAACAGAAGTACGATTGACAAATGGTACACAAGTGGGACAATCCTTTTCACTTAAGACAAGGATGTTGGGGACAACAGTAAGTCCAGAGGCCCCCCGTATTAAGGAAAGTCGACTGTAAAAAGAATACATGTGCATGACACGTATCTGCAATGATCTAAACTTAAATAAAAGAAACTTATGATTCACATCATAATTGATTATAAGGATTTTTTAATAAATAGTACGTAGTCAGTTTCCCTATATAGTTTTTTCACATCATAATTCATAACAAGTTAGTTATAGAGGTTGCGTTAGCACCAGGTAAAAATATTTCTTTCTGAGCATGCGTGGTTCAGAAAAGAACCAGAGGATACTTGACGTTAACATGACCCCCCTGTTAATTCATAATATATACATAGAATCGCTGTAGTGTTGTGATTCAGATCATTATGGGAATAAAATGGTATCCCCTATTTACTAACGTACGTTTCTTCCAGTGACGCTGCCAGCGACCAGGACTATGAAGAAGAAGTGGAGGAGGAAGCCGACGAGGACAGCTACGTCAGCGAGGCGAGCGACTACTTGGATGCGCCGCGGCGGAAACGCTCCAGGGGCTACTCCAAGTGGAGCAGCCTGCCCAAGAGGCGCAGCGAGCGTCGGCGTAAGCGGGTACGGTACCGAGACTACTCAGAGGAGGAAGACTTTGAGTCAGGTGGGTTCTGGCAGTTTCACATGCCAAAGTGTCAGCATCGCTCATTTTTGTCTCCGCAGCTGAGCCTCGGTATCTCAATAATTGACCAGTGGCGGACAGGAACCTGTGACATCTGGATCACTCTGCCACTGTGGTGCCCTGGTGGCCTTTGGTTTGAGACACTTTGTTCGCACAACTGAGATTTGATAAGTTAAGGTCTTGTATTGTTAGTGGAAGTAGAGTGTGTTTCAAAACAAATCCACCAACTGGTAGCAGTGTTGAAGTCAAGACCATCAGAAGGCCAATCACATGACCAGAAACAAGGCCGAACACAAAACCAGACACAAGACCATCACAAGGCTGATCACAAGGCCAGACACAAGGCAGAATACAAGACCAGGCACAGGACCATCACAAGGCCAATCACAAGGCAGGACACAAGGCAGAACACACAGGGCCATCACAAAGCCAATCACATGACTAGACACAACGCAGAACACAAGACTAGACACAGGACCTTCACAAGGCCAATCACAAGGCCAGACACAAGGCAGAACACAAGACTAGAGGCAAGACTATCACAAGGCCTATCACAAGACCAGACAAAAGTCTGAACACAAGACCATCACAAGGCCAATCTCAAGGCCGAACGCAAGACCAGTCACAAGTAAGAGATTGAACAGTGACAAAGGAATGCTTTTGCTGAAGTTCCTTTGAATAGCTTGTCACTTGGTATCAGACTGGAGATCCTATGTTGGTGTTGTGTGGTCTTATGATGGTCTTAAGAGGTGTTCATTGTAATGATGATTGGCAGTCTTCCACTTTGACCTTAACCCTCCCAGACTTTTGAATATACATCTGGAGGTCTAGAGCCTAGCCTTCAAATTCAGAATATGTATTTGTTTAAAGGTCTGTAGTTTTACGGGAACCAGTTTTCCGTCTAGGGTTTGGACTGCATGTTGTGATTCATGGCATATTTTGTGGTTCCTGTTACAACCAGCAGAAAGTGAACAGTACAGTGAATACAGTGACGAGAGTGAAAGTAAGTCAAGGAGGAGAAAGCAAGCCAGGCCCAGACGGGATTCCTCAGAAGAGGGCCAATCAGATTACAGCTCGTATCAGTCGGACCAATCAGGGAGTGCGAACAGACGGTCAAAGAACAAGCGCCGACTAGAGTCCGAATCAGAGTCTTCGGAGAACGCTGGCTATGTTCGGAAGCGCAAATTCCGGTTAGAGAGCGACGAAGAGGACGAAACCGAAGACATTGCTGATAAAAAGTCAGTCAGGAAGGATGATTCACCTAGTTCAGAGGAGGAGGGTCAGGAGAGCGGACCTGTTGTGAGGAAAAAGACGGCCCCGGTGGCTCATCACAAAAGGAAAAAGTACACGGAAGACAGCGATTACAGTCCCAGTGAAGCTGGGGGGAGGCGATCAAGGTATTCATCCAAACAAGTGGATTATCGGAAGATGGCTGCAGAGAGCGATTCCGAGGAAGAGGAGGATTATGAAGAAGAAGAGGAGGAAGAAGAAGATGATGACAATGATGACGATTATGATGATAATGAGGGAGAAAGCGAGATTGAGACGTATGCCAAAACTAAAGAAGTCCAGGGAACAGATCGGAACAAAGCCTTTGTCGAGACGGAAAAAGACTCCAACAAAGAGAACGAGCAGGCAGAGCAGCTTTCCAAGCAGCAGGTGGATTCCGAGGAGGCTCGAGCGAAGGACCCTGTTAGGAGGGCAGAGGATTTCCCCAGCAAGTCGGCCGTCGCCCCACCCGTCAGCAACGGCACGACGCTGAATGGAGGCTGCAGCGGAACGATTGTCAACGGCAACGGCTCCTCGGGAAACGGGGAGGGCATCTCGACGGGTGAGGATGAGGATGACCTCCTGGGCGTGACGGACCTTGTGGAGTACGTCACTCAAGATGTATAAAGGGTCTGTTACATCATGTTCATTTCCATCCGAGTAAACCATTTTTTTATTGTGTACCTTTCAAGGAAACATCAGTGGGTGAGGTAGTTCTTTTTCACCTGTTTTACACCTGTTCGCTTTTACACCTCTTAATTTCTCCACGTGCATGTAGCCTAGACGTGCTTCTACATCCACCTAAAATGATGCTCTTCAAACTGATGTAACACGTCATTTTAGTGGTACATGTATTAACCTGATGTGTGCCATATTCGTCCTGTTTTGAATGCGGATACATCCCTACGGCCGGGGATGCCAGGGTGTGTAACATCTGGAAATGTATTGTGTAAACTAGGATGTTCAGGGTACGGTACTCAAAACGGGTGAGGAAGGGGTAAAGGGTGGGTCGTTATCTTTGTGGGTACAAAAGTTACAGCCTTGAGCCTTGACCACCTCAGATCCACTGTATCCACCAGCAGACCAGGAGATTTGGGGGGAAATTTACCGGGTCAAAGCTCGCGCCCAGCCGCAGTTACCGTCGATTGGCAAACCTTCATTTTAACATTGGATCCCATGCAGTGATGGATCTTTCAAGTTCAGTGAAGATAACATGTATATTAACAAAGGTAAAAAAAAATGCTGAATTGGAGCAATCAAAGCTACAAATCTGAAAGCCACCGTAAAATTTTACAGCACGCAGTGTGAGTACAGCACACAGTACATTGTACATGTTCACATCCAGTGGGACTCTGCAGTATATCGTAATGTGCTGAATATTCAGTATTATGCAAATGCCAGAGCTGAATGTTTCAAAGTAAATTCCAGAGGAATTAGGTGACTGCTTAATCATGCTCTTCAATCAACTTGCCGTTCTCTCATTAAGGCAAAGGTTACTACTGTCCTTGTAATTTATAGAATTTCCCATGAATTTCTTGTCACAGTTCTCAAGAAATTGGCATTTTTTCAACCTTGTGATTCAACATGGCAATCGCTGCTTAGAAATTTAGAATACTGTGGTTATATTTGGATCGTCATCCGTCCCGAACAGTCCTGAATTCCAATTTCAGTATTTTTTCAGTCACTGCAAGGGATAAGGATCGAAACAAACCACCTTTTATTTTGTAAAAGATAATGGGCCGATAAAATGGTTTTCCACCCATAGAAGTTAATTCGAAGAGTTTTATAGTAAACGCACAAAACTCTCTACTCTGACCCGCTCGAACTACAACCATGACGCAGACACTTTTTCTCCACGGTACACCAAAGACCAAAATATTCAATCCATTTGGAATTCTGTGATGACGCTGGTGGGTTGCAGTAGAGGTCATTTCCTTCTCACAGCGGCATCCAATAGTCATGTTCCTACTGACCGGGAAATCAACAGTCAGTAAATCCTGTTTTGTAAAGGCCTTCATTCAGTTACTAATGCAGCCCATGCGTCATGTGCATGTACTCTCAGGTTCCCTAACAAGGTCAAAGGGTCATGTAATACATGTACCTGATAGTACACCTTCCTTTTCGCTGCCGCTTCACCTACATGTAGGTGCAACCTTTGCCAGGCAGAGGTTACTAAACTGCCGCTGCACAGAACAAAATAATTCACGGAAATGTGAATAAAATACCTCTACGTTTCAAGGCAGTATGTTATGGCGTGTATTCGATAACACACTGAGCAGCCGAAAGCGGTGTCGACACGGCACACAAAGACACGTAGAAGAATACTCTTTAGAAAATACGCTTAGCTTATGTCACGTTTCGTCTGGAGACTTTTGCCAAGTACGGTCAATTTTTGGGGGGCGAAGTAGACTAGACGGCCATACAGAATGGCGCCAGGTGTTCGCGAATGAAAGGAAGGTCTGCAAAGCGAGAAGAGGTGTGCGCGGTCTTGCATTTGGAGAACTGCACTGTCACGAAGTACAGATCCTGTAAATGCCGGATGCTGTTTAAAATTCGGTGAAATTTCCACTTCAGATTCAAGCTCTCCCGTTGTTTTGGAAAATTCAGCCTCGAGCTTCCGGGAAATAATCTAGTACTAGCACAAACAACATCAACGCCCACCCACGCTTTTCTTTGGTTTGTACAAATGTAATCTTCTGTCATCAATATTTGAATTCAGTACCAAAGGGATGTAATAATGCGTTGCATAATTCATGACAGGGTTTTTTTTAAATGTAGTACATGTACATCGGAATTTGTGACCACGGTCAAGGCTCAACTCTCATGCATTTTAGCGTGGACCCAGAATTTGTGATCCAGTGGTCACGTTTGGATCTTTATGCTGGAAGGTGAACGGCGCGAAGTCTTGGGAAAGCACTTCATTTGTTACCTTTCTGTCAAAGAACACGAAAACGGGTGTGGGTGCACAGCTTTTGTCTTTCTTAACGTGTGAACGTCGGCAGCAAGCAACCGTTGGTTACATGTGTATTATTTTACCTGTACGGGAATCTTCGATGTACGTATTTATTATGTACAGTAGGTTCGAATTTGGGCAGTTAATGTTGGATGTTAGTCAGAATGGAGGTTCGTCACACAGTTTTTATAGACTTTAATAAAGTCTGACATACGACACAAGCAGGAGCTCGGGTACAATAGGAAATCAGCCCCATAGTATTTACTTTCCGCCAGAATTTAGAGAACAATATCGTCGACGGTGAATGCATGCGCAAGCTGCCACGCCGTAAAGGTCGCCTGTAAATGTTGTTCGCGGAAACAAAGAACAGTCCCCCTTTTGCCCGTCATGTGCGAGTGGGTTTTGTTCGCGTGGGGCCTAGGCATGGATACGGAACCAAACGTTGCAACCCATCGAAAAATACCCGAGAAATCCCAAATTGGTATTTACCACGCAATGCGGTGTTGCCGCTGGTGAATGTTGATGTCAAATCGTTTGACAGAAACCGTCTGTAAATTTTTGTTGGTCCTTCCCAGACACGGCAGATGTGAATGGTTCTGTTTTCTAGTTGGGTATTTCGTCATTCGCCCGTGTATTGACGGTGCTGGAAGGCAGGAGAAACACATTCATTCAGTATGCGTACTGTCAGCCACAGTGCGAGTCAATTTGGAGTCTAAACCGTGGGCGTGGTCAGGATATTTGCCAAGTTGGGGGGGGGGGCAAAGCACTCATCGGCAATTTACTGATAAACAGTAACATTGGGAGGCGGTCAGTTCTGAGGGTGTTTTGTGGTTTTGTTTTGTAATTTGTTTTCCAAGCACTGGTGATTTCAACACACCGAGAAATTTGTACTCTTTTTCCTATTTTATATTGTTCAGTGTTTGTGGTCACCCATCGCGACAACAATGGCCCAAACATGATTCAGCTAAAACTTTTGAAAGGAGACTTGCACCCAGTCTCTGACTTGCACGACTGCAGGGCGCACCTGCGTGACCCAAAGCGACCTCTCTGTTGACTTATTACAATAAACCACGAGTGAATGGTTCGAAAAAAAGTTTAATAGGGAAGCCCATTGAGTACATTATTACTAGTGACAGCTGCCAGTGTCACAAGCATTTTGAAGTTTTCTTAGACAAAAATACTGTCTTCATTCCGACAACTATCTTTAAGTAGGGTTTTTACATGTAGCAGGAAAAATGACAATTTTAACTTAACAAATTTGTCCTTAATATTTTCCCCATGCGGCACTTCCTCATCATGTACATAATCACTTTCAATCCGGGCATTTCACTATAGTGCGCCACCAAGAGTTTGCAACGCGTTGGCCAATCACTGTGCGTGTTTGGAAACGATGGAGAGATTTGGCGCATTGTGATTGGCCAACGCGTTGCAAAGTCTTGGAGGCGCACTATTGCGACTCTCACGTGTTCAATTCTTTGTTGTCCAAAAAAATGGAAATTCTTCTTGTTCGCTTTACATACACATTCATGACGCATCGGCATAATATAACACCGCAGTATGCATCCCTATTTGTGACCCAGCCTTCAAATCGAGTCACAAGTCCCCGGAGCAACCTTTTGAGTGGAAGACCTTTGAGAGAATCGTGCCCGTGCAAATTGACAGGAACCCTCAACATTTTTCGCCCATTATTGCTGTCCATTTTTCATCAGGACGCCCCGAATTCGTGATACATCGAAACAAAGAACCCACTTTGATCTCTCTCGTGCAAACTAGAATAAAATCAGATATCAAAAATATGGCCTGAAGACTCATCTTGTGGGATCAGGTCACGCTTTGGTCTGGTGGCAGTGTGATTTGCCTCCATTTTGTGGAGGATGGAGGAGGTGTGGCCACGCCCACCATTGGGTGTGATTCTGGGAGCTGCTACACCCGGTATACGCAGAAATGCCAAGTGCTGCAGCCACGATCCCGTGTGTTGCGCATTTCTTGTGGCTGGTTCTCATCGGAATTTATTCTTATTTATTAAGCGGTAATATTTGTGTACTACACAGTTAACAGCTCATTAATGTTAATACCCGACGGAAATGAAATAGAATGCACCACCAAACACTTTTTATAACAGAGTTGGACATATTTAGCTGTATCGTCACATTGTATCAAGGGCTAGGGAATGAATATCCTATGAAATCCGGTTTAGATTCCATGGGAAAAATTGAAACTGCTGCTATTGCAGTCCGGATTCCGCGTTTACACCGCTTTTGTGCTTCACACTGTGCTTGTGCCCCTTTTGGTTCAACCTTGATCCTTATTTAAAGTGATGAATTTAGCTCAACAGCCGAGAATTGTAATTCCACAGTGATTTGGTTTCGTATGCTCCTGTGTTCGTCGTTTGTTGTGTTAATAGGCCCATAGTCTGACAGTTATGGCGTCACTGTAGATCTGTTCTCGTAGCATCTTCGTGTACATAGATGTATGAATACCATGTGTACCGTTACTATCTGAATAAACCGTAATCTTGATCTCGATTGACACGTAGTAGTGTGCATCCGTCGTTCTTGATTTTGGAAGTTATCGTTTAATTGAATGAATGGAAACGTGTCCTCGAAAGGCTATTACCCGGCCCCGGAACACCGGCTTAGTCCCCTCCTGCCTTCCAATGTACGCGGTCGACGGTTATACTACCGAGGACCTCTTGCGTCCCTTCTTTTCTTCCAGTTGTAGACAAACGAACGGCCTGTTTGCTTCGATCAATGACCCTATAAGCTGGTAAGCGCTCTCCTCTAGGCGGGTTCTGGTGTCGACCCGGATCCGATCGAGTGAGACAAACAGGCCCTAAATCCCGTGCGCCGATTTGGCCTCCCCCGTCACACGTATTCATGTTTGCCACTCTTTTGCAATGTCACTACCATCGTTTTTGTCGTCGTGCTTGGCAAACCATGGCTGGCCCTGAGAATAAAAAATTATGTATTTCTTCAAAGAAATTTAACACCTTCACTAGACGACTTCCCTATTCCGTCAACACTTTTGCAAATATGTTTTGGGACGAAGATGTGAAAAAACAAGGATTAATTTTCTGTAGTCTTTTGCCGCTTAAGGCAATTTGGTGGCCACTGTTTGCAAAAACGAAAGCCACAATTCAGGGTCGAACCCCTTCACCTTGAACGAAGATTAATCGTAAGGTCGCAGTTATTTAGGCCATGGGCGTACTTCCAAACCGTTCTTTATCGTCACTCTTGCGTGAATCGAAGATGACGTTGCAAACCAAGCGAGCGTGGCGGATTTTCTCATCAGTCCCATAGTGTGGACAGGATCTTTTCCCTTTTTGATCGTCCTTGGGCCTATAGTCCGTGCCATTTTGTTAATTGTCTAGAAATAGCAGACCATGGAGGTCAGAAACATGGCAATCCTGACTTTTTTTTTTACCAAACAAGTACATGTACAGCGATGGGGGGGGGCTTCATAATTGGGATTGTGAGCACTCTCCTTTTCAGAAACCATTGCCTTTGCAGTACAATTCCATTGTAACGCTTGCGCCTGCGCTTCTTTGAATAGAGGTCGCTCCAAATGGCCATGGAAAAGCATGACAATAGGAGCTCTTCAATTTGATTGACCATCAATCGTGTTGTTCATGGGCGTGGAGATTAGACTCGACGGCACAGAAAAATCTCGTTTCTCGGCTGGGCAAAGGTAATGTGTATTCGCGTTGATAGCAATACGTTTAAAATGCCGCAGAGCTCCTTGAAATGAGCTTACGCCGAAGTCTGCCAAGTTTTAAAAGCAGCTTATGAACTTTGCTTAGGAAGTACCCCGAATTACTCATAAAAAATTAAGAACCGGAAAAGGTTTATTCTTTGCGGCTTGAATTATATTGAAGGCCAGAATGTAGAAAAAAATGTGGACGTGTGGATGGAAATGCATTCACTCTATAGGTTTTAGATACGAATATTGCTGTCGTGTAGATGTCATGTCACGTACAGCGTGCGTAAAAAAGTCAAAGCACGCACTACGAAACGTGGGATAGTGAAACGATAAAACACAGTTTTTACCGTGTGATTGAAGTCCAGTGGAAGTGTGAATTTAGGCCTACCATCTCTCTTTCCTTATTGGGGTGGAGTTTAGTTGGATCAAATTGGGGGGGGGGACGGGGTTTCGCTTATCACCACATTTTGCAAAATGATTGTAATTTTTGCCCCACCACATTTGGGTGGTGGCTTATGCAAAGTCCAGCAAACGAAAAAGTGTAGCGACATGCAATGTGCCTGTCCTGAAAAAAAAAACTGCTTAATCACAAACGCCCCAAGGGAAACAGAGAAACACAAATTTATTTCGAAAATCACAGAAATTGCAGCAGCCATGCAAACAATAGGAGGCCTTGGGCGCCCTGCTTCCGCGGAAAGACGTACGCCACCGCAGAAGTACCACAGTCATCCAGGCAGCTCGGGAGTGGTGGACATCATTTCATCAGGCATTATTACCATTGTCGTTATTGGATCAANCCTCAAAAGCCGTAAGTGTCTCCGCTAGCTAGTTACATTTATAAATGTGAAACAGGCCTGCACAGTGCTTTGTTTGGCGTTAGATTGTCTCAGAATCGTAACTGGTACTTTGTTTTTGACGTTAATTGTGATAGTTTCATTTCCTGCCGGTAGAGATACCGCGACCAGGCTTACATATTGTACACGTACAGTGTACAGTGGCGTTTACGTGCTTAGTTTTATAGCTCCGTGTCATGTTGATGACACGGCTTTAGGTTGTAGGGTTTGTGTTCATTAGCAGAGAGTTTGTTTGCTGACGGGCCGGGGCTGGCCTTGTTTGCACTGATACCTGTCAACTGAATATGTTAAGATTTTGGTCCTTTGATGGCCTTGACCGGGAGTCTAGCAAAGGAAGTTAACGCATGTAGTGCACGCAACAACCTGAGTTCGCGTGCACCCACGTAAGGTTTGAGCCGAAGTCGGAATATTGTTCACGCACACGCTGTCCGTGGACTATATGACGTAGAGCAAGATATTTCATCGTTGGTTAGCAATTGTTTTCAAACTAGATTTGTTGTAAGCTTCATATCTTGCCGTAATTAGTTTCTTTGCTGGTCTACTATTCCATGGTAGATTTCGTGGCGGCCAGTTCAAGTTGTTCCTCGCAGTGAAACGAATCACAGACCCCGCCTATCGTGCTCACCTAATGTTGTACGTGTCATGTTGGATGATATTTCCGGTATCTCGCCAGAGATGTCTTAGTATCCAATAGGTGGATGTTCAGTCGGCCCAGTCTGCCAACCGACTACAAACTATTCAGAGCAAATGCAGAAATCAGATACGCTTTCACTGCCTTTGCTCAAACGGTCGTGCGGCTGTCCATCGAGAATCACGTTATCCACTCCGAACGGAGAGAAAAGCAGGCGTGTTTTTCAATCAATTAAATGAACTTCACTGTCCTTTGGCGCGAACTCACTGCATAGGCGCACAGCTTGAGGTTTATTGGCGTTTGGCGCGGAGCACAGTAAGGCCGCACCCGAATCTCTTGTCTAGAGCTAGGTCTAGGTCTTCGCTCCATTGGAAATGGAGACGCGCAGATGATAGACCAAGCCGTAGCTCTGGAAGTCTGTTTCGGTCAAGGCCTAAGCTGGACGCTGGAATGTATGGTCTTCTCGTGCTCGCCGAACGCAAACAAGAACCCGGTTCGGGTACTTTGTACCCGTCTTTCTTTCACCGATGAGGGTGCACTTCAACTCGGGGCGGTTTTTGATAGTGACGCGTCACGCGAACGCACTTCGATAACTGTTAGGCACAGTGTATCCCCACCAAAAGCAACAAAATAAATATTGAATTTTGTGGCGATTATGTTAGTTTTGCATCAAAATGACACTGAATTAGCACCTCAAAGTCACATATCCCCTCTGACCTCTGATAGGGCCCATTTTATTCACACACGGTAATGGATGGCTGAACAATAATTCTTTTTGGACAATGGGACCACGTTCAGTTAGAAATTCCAGCAGAAGTCCAATTCTCCCTCGCTGCAGTGAAATGTTTGTAACGAATAGGCTAGATGTATTCGTAATGCATACTGTTGGAAAGATCTGAGGAATCTGTGGCTTTAATAAGGTGCTACTTGGCATTTTGGTGTACAACCAATCTCTACAAAAGTGAAAATAAATTTTGTGACGGTTTTTTTTATACGCTCTGTATAGGCCTAATGCAGTGTGACATACTAGAAGTGAGGTATTTTTAACCAGGTGTTTAAGGCTCTTTCCGATTATGTCGTTTGCTAGGCCGTGCTTGCCCATTGCCGCTCTTTTTTCTTTTTTTTCTTTTTCTTGTTTGGTGCATTGTTTATTTTGAGTTCATTGGTGGAATGACTTAATCACTCAACAGAACTATAAAAGGGAAATTGCGTTGGCTGTAGCATAATGTACATGTAGCATTTTTTCATTCTTTTTCTTCGTTTTGCAAAAAAGACCACCCTTTATTTTTTTGTTATTACATTTCTAGCGTGATATTTTTCAAGAATCCTCTCCATCAAAAGCAATAAACATGATGTATGCTGTCTTCCTTCTGGCGGTCGTGCCTGCTGTGTTGGGTTTTAGCAGCGGGCCGCCGGTGGGGTCGTCTAATCCTAATCTTTGCACCGACATGATACCGACCGGTCACAACAGCGGGACTAGTCTGGCCAGTGACACAGCCAACCCGCCTTACACCATCACCGCGTCGGGAGACGAGTACACGAGGGGCGGCTCCTTGACAGGTACGTCATGTCGACTGAAATTGTCAGCCGGAATTAAAAGCTTTTTCTTCATTTGGCAATGGCAAAGCACTGAAATAAAGCTTCCTTACAGATTAATGTCATTCATGCTGATGAAGAATTTCAATTTGTGATTAATTATATTCAAATTTTTAAGCCACACTCAAAAGACTTAAAGTAAGGCGTGAAACCCCAAACAGACTGATGCCGCCCCATTTATCAGATTAAAGAGTAATTGAAAATAGAATCTGGCAACGCGACCCCAAAAAATGGCTTCTCTGTCATTAAGGTGTAATTATTAGCGCCTTTATCCCAAATCACCTTTTGAAGATGCATACGTGTCTCTACGTGGGTGGGTTTGTGAAAGTGTGCCGCCTCGGGGATGGTTCGAAGTTGACCCGGACTTATGGTCCTATTTTCCACCTTAACCGTGCTGCTACTTCTGTAATCAGTTGTACAGTACGTTTTGTATGCATGAAAACAATTTTCGCTACAAAACTAGACTTGGATCAAGTCGGACCTACGTTGCTCTTCCCCAGTCAGCCATCTCTTCACGGCACACAGTACACCGTCGCGCTCGGCCGTTCGCATTACTTCTCTTAAAGTGCCCTCATTTTGATAGCCTTTCCGCGGCATCGATGTCAAAGATTTTTTAGAGGTTTGGTATATAAACTATTAAACAAAATATTTACCCTGAAATAATAATTGGAGTCTGCAACTTCTTCGGCCTCTTCTTGACTCGTTTTACTTCTTGTTGATTTCTTTAAAGTAACAACTTAACAAATGTGTCCTTCCACGGGAATATTCACCGTATAAGGAGCAAACGCTACCCAGTTAGATCCTATCCCTGTATCCGGACACCAATTGAACTTAAATGGCCGCTTAATTAATAAAGGGTGTAGCTCTCACAAGCAATATTCTTGTAGCACCGCACAACGAAGGAGTGACAGTGAGATAATGCAGCATGCAAGATGGAGCATCAAAAGTGGACAACCCCATTTTCTCATTTTCTGCTAGTAGATTTTCGGGGTTTCGGACTTTGCCTGAAGCATTTTCAAAAAACGCAATTTTCCGCCAGGAGAAATTTGGATTTTACTTTAACAACTCTTCGTGGCGCGTCAAGAGTGGACAACTAAACACTTCAAATTCCCACTGGCATAATGACTATAATGCTTCAAAAGTGGACAACCCACTTTCTCATTTTTGGCTAGAAGATTTTCGGGTTTGGGGAATTTGCGCAAACCATTTTCAACAACTCAATTTCGTAGTCTTCGTAGCGCCTCAAAAGTGGACAACTAAAAACTTCAAACTTCAAAACTTCAAAGCAAATTTTATTTGATGCTCCCAAAGAGGACAACCCCATTTTCTTATTTTCTGCTGGTAGATGTTAGGGTTTTTTTTAAGTTGCACTATCCCTTTTCATAAAACCCAATTTTCTGCTAGCAGAAATTTGGGTTTTACTTTGACGACAGCGGGGTGGTCCAAAAGTGGACAAGTTGAAAACTGAAACGACTGTAGCGATCCCTACGCTCAGAATGGAACGGTCTTGGGAAGATGGGCAGCCTACATTAACGGTAGAGGGCCAATGGTCTGACGGATGGCGTCGCAGCTCGGAAAAAAATTGAACGATTCCTATCAAGAGACTCACAGGAAATATAGAGCAAACAGGAAAGCGGCTTCCCAAAGCCTGTCAGTCCTCTTTGGTACCGCAAACTTCCAACTTCCCAGCCCATCCGTGTAATTAGAAATATGGCGGCGGCTTACCGTCGGACATTTCCGTTTTAAATACCAGTAACTGAGCGCATGGTAATGTGTGTCCCCTAAACGATGCTGGCTGTAATGAACCATCATGGTGTCCATGCCCAATAGTGTCATTGAATTTGTTGTGAAACGAAAAAAGGTTTGAATTGAAAAAAGTCTTGTTAAGAGAAGAAGCTAAGTGCTGTTTAATCAAGTGAACCGCGAGTTTCAAAAAGGGGAAAAATAGAGAAAGTAAAAATGGTAAACATTAAAATGCAACGTGAACTTGCTGAATTACTTTCTACATCCCACAAATTCTAAAACACATATTCAGCCAATAATTCCAATCACAAAAAAAAGATAGCCACGACGAAAATAAATCTTTCAGCCAGTAAATGACGTTATTCCCTGTTGTGATACACCCCTTTTCACTCTTTCTATAGTTACCATCACTGGAACAGGTGGCAATGACTTCAAGGGTTTTTTCATCCAAGCACGCCGCGCAGATCCCACCCGGAACAACGACGTTGCCATAGGAACGTTCTCCAGTCCGCCTGTTACTACGCAGCTTCAGACGTGCCACGATGTGGAAAATGTAAGCAGCATCCTGTACAAATTATGTAAATCGCGTTTAGAGGCCTACATGTCCTCTTGAAAATGAGAAAGTGTTGCCCCGATTATCTGTTGAAAATTTAGAATGAAGTGCTCCATTTTATATCATTTGTCATAAAAAGAGGGGGCACTTTCTGACTTGGAGTTAACGGGCGTCGCCCGGATTGAATTTTGAATTACATGTAGCATCATTGCATGCATTATATCCATCCAATTTCAGTCTGCCTGGGGACATTCCAGCAGTGTGAATAGATCCTCGATTGCAGCGACATGGACTGCTCCTGCGCAAGACGAAGGCCCCATCAAGTTCAAGTAAGAAACGCCCAAACTCTACTTTTCCTCCCCCTTACTTAAAATACTAACATTTTGCGGCATTGATTGGGCAATGATTTTTATTCCCAGCAAAAATAAATGGATAGTTATCCGAATAAAACGGGCTAGTACCGTGCAGAATACACACCACTCCCATTCGCTTACGAGCAGTCACTGCACGCTTCATATTGTTTTCTTGATGGCTTTCTGGTCAGGGCCACCATTGTGAAAGGGGTACCAAACCGGGACTACTTTTACCTAGGCGTCATGTCTAACCAAATCAGCTTCAACGCCACTGGAGGGGCACCAACTCAACCACGTAAGTTTGTGCTCTTCTTTGCGATAGCAGTTTACCATCAGCATTAACATGCCCACTTTGACACCTCAGATGGGATTAATACACCTTTAGTGGTATTATGTGGAAATACAGCCGTCATTTGGAATTGCATTAAGATGAAATCTACTTTATTTGGCATACGCACGACATGTGTCTATTTTGACAAAGAGCAAATGTCTTCCAGCTTTGGCGGCTCGAAGGGGATGAAAGTACTTTGGAACTCTCAGAAAAACAGATAAACAAAATTGGATGATACACGGACAAGACTATGCACAGCCATAAATCACTTTTCCAAACATTTTTTCACTGTTAGTTTGTAAATATGTTGAAGTATAGTGTTTAGAGTATTGATGGATGGTGTGTAGCCATTGGACATTGATGTTTAGGAATTGAGCATCACATTTTCAGCATGAAGGTGATAGGGAGGTATTGTCTTAAATATAGTGAGCAGTTTTTAGAGTGACAAAACCTGGTCTAGCGCTCTCTTCTTGTCCACACCCGGAGCCCATGATCAGTTGGTTTACTCTCGTTGATTAAGTGTTATACTTTTGCCAGCTCTTTCTTGAAAACCTATCTACATTATGGATCTCCATTCAGTTATGACTAGCTTCATTGACACCCGCACCACTCATAGCCATAACATTGCAACGAAAACCGGGACGCTGCTGACGCAAACCTCTGGAAACTTTACATTTCCTCATGCAGGAAACACCTGTTTGTTTCTTCTAGTTTAATATTCTGATTGTCTGAGCTGGATAGTCAAGTAGTCACCTGGAAAACTGGTGAAAACTCGCGTGCGAATGAAAGAAACGGTCTCTCTGACCTTTACTCCTGGCGGAAATGATCGACCACGCGCGTCAGTCGGAAGCAGTTCAATATTGCAGCCACAAATATGTCTCTCCCAGAATATGCAATAAAATTTTCCATCACGCAGTGGGTGTGCAAGAAATCATATTCTCGAGAAAATGCGATAAATAGCGCAATACTATATTCATATGACAACCACGATGAGAGGGGTACCCAGGCTCTTTTTGAGGGGGAAAGGGGTTGGGGAGGCTCCCAAGTGGGGGCAGTATTGTTCCACTTGGCCAAGTAGCGAGGTTCTGGGGGAGGGGTTAGAGAGTAGGAGTAATTCCTTGAAATTGGCCGGTTGAGAACCTATTATAGTCTTGACAAGAATTATGCTGTGAGCCTAGCGATTCTGACATATTCGAATATTTCGTTTTTCTTCCAGCGGTTACCCCGACGTCGGGCGGTGAGTTAAAAATTTCATGCTTTTAATCCATCCTTTTTGAGCAGAAAATCACAATTCCTCTTCGAGTGGCACGAAGATTGGACTCCATTTTCTGGCATAGGCCTACGTTTCATTCTTAGTTTATGTAGCTGCATACGCAATATGCAGTCGCATGTAGGAACCTTTTCTTTGAAGGTGGATTTTCGTAAGGTTTTTTTCAGTTATTCATTAGTCCAACATAATTCCCAAAACTTGGTCAAGAGAAGCCAATGGGACTCAATCGACAGTTGGAGCTATGATCAAACGTCGTTACGTATTACAAGCAAGTGTGCTTTTTTAAGTGCCTATAAAAAGTATTTTTGTCGGTTTTCGTTGCCGACTTGAAGTGAAAGTGAAGTTAAATTTTCGGTTTCTCGATCCTAAGTTCAGTTTGTTCCCCCGTTTGGGGAGGGGGACAGGTCCCCATGCCCACGAAGCTTTGCCGCACGGCCGAAGATCTAGTACTTTTATAATCCAGATTTTTTTCCCATCTGTCCAGGACCCAGCCACTCTGTGTCCGTCACCCTGGCTCTCGTGGCTGCTCTGCTAGCCTCGTTTCTCAGCGTTCACAAGTACTAAATCCAGCGAAGTCACGATACCAAGATGATACCAAATCGCTTAAGATGCTTTTTTGTGCATTAATTTGTAGTAGTTTTAGTTGGCGTCGAAACAGCTTATTGCAGTTTTAGAAAGTATACCCAGTACACGGTTTTGGCTGAGGCCGGCAGAGTATTTCATGCAAGTGGATAGGAACTTGCTTAAGCCGTCACACCTGTAGGCTTCCATAGCCACATGTGTAATTACCGGCCGTAGCCAAAATCTGTGGGCGGAGCCATAGGTACTATCCCTACTTTTATTGGTGTGTCTAACGACAACTGAAGTGGTATTAGGCATTGTCCAAATCCTGAGCCTGGAGCTATATGTCTTTGCCAGTTTCTGATATATTGCGTGAATACAGGCCTCAGTGGACGAAGCCGTAGCTGCGGAAGATAGGTTTGAACATGGCTTTCGTGAATGCATTTTGGGCGTGAAATTAGTGGGGATTTTGTAATGCTTGGAATGACTCGTGCAAATAACGTGTAGCCATAAACTTATAGGTTGAACGTCCAGCCAGGGGATATTTTGTTTGGAGATTTTTTTTTCACTTTGCTGTAGTCAGTTCTG